TTTGGTAGCATTAGACTTATGACAAAGAATAGGAGGGAGATAAGGATAATTCTCTTCAAAGTTCAACATCTCCAACGATCTGAGCAGAATGGTTGAAACCCTTGCCTACTTCTAGCAGCACCCAGAAAACCAGAAGTGGAAGGTCTGCCGGTGAAGCGAAGACCCCTGTCTCCCTCCCTCTCCAAACCTGACCCACCCCGTCCTCCGTCCTCCCCTCAGCGTCCCACGGCCTCCCCTACCGCTCGCCCACCACCACGTTCGTGACTGCCGGCAGTTGACCGTACTTCAGCTACCCGGCAATCACACGGCACTCGGCCGCTACGGACACGGGTGGATCCCAGGACGAAAGGGGCGCTGTGCTCCTGTGCGCTCCTAGCAGCTCCGGCCGCCGGCGGGGTCGGTGCTACCTACCACTGCTGATTGAAGGACAGTGAAGTTCTCTCGGTCGGTCTGCCGTGGGCAGACTGGAGTCTTCCGAAACGCAGTGAGGATACAAGATGATGGGGCGATTAAACAAGCCAGCATGGGTTACGGGGGTGATACTGCTCCCATAAAAAACATGGATTATGTATATCAGTGAGATAACGCATAGTGCGTAGAAGTCAGAACTGCGAGACAGCTTGTAACGCCATACGCCTCGGCCGATTTCCCCTGACTCCATTACCCGTGTCTCTGGAGCGGGTCAGGCTTCACGTGTCCGAGTCACGAGCCGCGCTGGGCTGGAACCACCTCCCCTCCCTCTCCTTCCCATTCGCTTCTCGCCGGGCGCACAGGCCGGTCGAGCAATCCGCGACAAGCAGGAATGGCTTGATCTAGACCAGTCTTGATCAAGCCGATTGAGATAAGCCACCAAACTGTCCGTCAAGTCTTAAATCGTCAAGCCTTGATCGAACCTAACTACTGTCATCTTGTTCAATCTCGTGCCAGCGGCCGGATCCTCTCACCAAAGACACCATCAGCACGCGACACAGCCACACCCGACCCGACAACGCGTCACTTTCTCCCACCACACTCCAAACGGCCCAAAATCCCTCCAGCGCATCTCCCATCAACTTCAGGTTACCACCTCACATAAAACCATCACCGGAGACTCTCGACACGAGAGCTCCCGCTCGATGGGACGGTTCGGTTTTCACTGAGCCTCTCTCCGGCCGGAGTATCCCATCCACAATCGCCGCGAGATCCACTTCAGTCTGGCGGCATCACGAGAGGTTCCACTCACAGGTCTCTCGGGCGGTTTTCACCGGCGGGACGCATGGTCTTCTCGTGGGAGGAGACGCTACCGCTGACTCTAGCCCGCGGCGTTAGCGTTTCCTGATTTTGTTCTCTAGCCATTATGCTCCCCTAGGAAAGAATCACACTTCATTCTTGGATTAATTTCCTTCAACTATACCCATTGAATGTCCCATGTGTTCAAGGGAGTTTGACTTCATTTGAAGATTCCCATGGCGTCTCCATATCTTTCCAAAACCACTCCACGTCAGCCCTTCCTCTTGGGCACCATCCCCCACACAACAACGTCACACACTGTCGCTGGACCATCAGAGATTTCCCCACGTCATCTCAGGTCACCTGAGGTCACCGGGGTCACCGCAGTCACTCATCACACACCGGGCCGAGTCGGACAGGGGCGGTGAACGTGGACACAGCCCTGTCACGCGCAGCGCGGTCCCACGCAGAAATTCGCATGCATTCAGGTCACACTTTCGAGTCAGGTGCGCTGGTGCTATTGGAGCCAGGCAGGCTGGCAGGCACTCAGGCAAGGAGAGGGGCGGTCATAATGTAGGGCGGTGTTGGAATCATTGAACAAAATGTTGAGAAATGCAAGCAATATGTAGACATACATATTCCTCACAAACCAGCACCATTCCGCTCTTCACCCCAACTCAGCTATCCAGTTATCCAGCATTCCGAACCCGATGCACTGGATCAGCTCCGATTGAAGCCAAAGTCAACCCAGACTTCCGCACAGGTTTGCGAACATGTGTGTCTGGTTAGATTCGAACAGCGATCAGTGCAGCTAAATAAGGCCAATGTCTGGCGTCGACCATGACCATGTCCATGACATTTCCCAAAATAGTACAAACCTTCATTGACCGGGTACATACCTTGCCTCAGCGAGCAGCGACCTATAATGGGTGAATGAATCATTGGATACCGTTTCCAGAGGTGGACGTAAAACACGGATGGTGAATCGATAGTTCTATCGGGCTATTTCGTGGTACATGTTGATGCTTGATGACAAGCCGAATATTGATGATGAAAAACAGGCTTTCCACTATACAAGTTGAGAATCCTGCAGCAGTTACATGATTCGGTCCTTTCCGATATATACGCATCTAATAGAAAAACGCTGCTGATGAAAGTCACTCCCATGCTGGCACGAGCAATACACGCCCGCGACACCAGCAACCCGATCTTTTGCTCTGTCCCGAGTGCAGACCAGGAGGTCCCCTCCACCACCCATCCCATGCCGCAACACATCCCACTCGTCCACCTCCCGACTCCCACCACCAGCCAACCGCGTCCCATCACCACCCACCGCTGTGATAAACGCCGCCCCTGCACGGCCCAGGCGCGGCACAGAGTCGCGCCGCGGAGGGACGGGAGGAGACAGCAAAAACCGGCCTGGAGCCGCCAACGGGCAGCGGACAGACGCGGCGGCAGATGGTCTGCGGTCGGCGGACTATGGTCCTGTGGTCTGCGGTCAGCGCCGCTGGACAGGCTGGGCGAACGGTGGGGGCTGGACAACAATACACAACAAACAGCCCACAGCGCCTGCCAGGCAACAGTCCGGGCCTATTGCCTGAAACGAGCTTAGTCTTCGCTATCACGGGAAATGTCAGTGGTGAAAACGCGGGTCTGTAACCTACCCAATAAATCGACACTAGTACTACAAAAGCGCCCTAACATCAGTGAAACAAGACGACAGAAACGAAAGCCAATTACCCTGTTGGCACGGCGCGGCGGGCGCGGCGTTTCGTCGGCTCGTTTCTGGTGAAAGGCGCCGCCTCGCCCGGCACGCCGAGCGACTCCCATCACTGATACAGCACGCACTCCTCCCCCCCGTTCGGCGGCGGTACCCGAGCGGCGGCAATTTCGCCGCGGTGACCCGGCGACCCGCGGCGAAACCAGCGCACTCCGGCGACCCCACACACTGCAGTGCGCTGCTAGGGTCGGACTCGCGGGCTGGCGATTTGGTTTTCAACTTCCCGGGTCGGACACGACTTGACATTGCGGGAATGACATACCCACGCTAGGAAATGACCACAAAATGAGCAATATGCGTGTCATTCGGAATCGATCATACGAATTTCACGTCATTTCGTAGGAAGTTACTCTAAACTTACCATTGACACTTTCCTCGAAAGGGGCACGCAAGTGCGATATCTAAAGAAAGGATTGGCTGAAGACAGCCGATGAGTATTGGAACTTCCCACTATTGAATATTCACGACACAGTCCAAGCCAGCCCCACGGGCACCACTATTAGGCACCTCTAGCAGACGAATAGCCACGGAGACCATCAATCACCGACTGAAGCAGAGAGAGTGTTGAAGGGGCCAGCCTGGGCGGCGGCGGCGGCGGCGCGGGTGGGGCGCAGGTGACCCATTTGACCTGGGGTTAACCACGCCAACAAAGCGTGCGCGGGAGCAGGAAATGACAGCGCCGGCGTCGGCTCCCACCCGGCCGCCACTTTCGCCGGCTGAGCGCGGCTCAACGACGCTCCGCACGGCGCGGAGGGCGACCCCGTTCAGAGCAGTTATAGGACGGGCAAGCCGGGGAGAATAAGGAGAAATGCTGGAATAGTAGTGAGAGCACTACGCGGAACAATCAGGAAAACCTATCGGAGGATGCAGCGTGCAAGGAGGCACGCAGACAACCATGCACAGGAGATAAGTGATGGTATTTGCTCGCAGCCAGGACTGAATGAAGCCCCTGGCAGGAGAATGAATGAAAGTCTCAGGTGGAGCTGAATGAAGGCTTAGCTGTTCCCTCACCGGCACCGGCACGGATTGCACAAGCCCCGTCTGCGGCGAGGGAGAGACAGTGATCTAGATTGGACGCTCTGCTCGGCGGCGGCTGGAGTGAAGGTGACTGTCGCCAAGACGACACAACAGCGGGTGGCTTTGTGATACGCCGAGGACAAAAAGACGGGCTCGGGATCAGATGAGCGATAAATCAGTTAAAGCCTTACCCACCTAGCTGTACCGTGAAAACGACTGGCTATGAAAAAACGATTTCATGAAGCTATTGATCTGATCTATTACAGCATAATGCTCTGATCGTCGGGCCTATGCTAGATATAGTGTAGTGACTGAGATCTCCAGTCCCCACCACATTCAGTCCCGTCATCAGTCAGCGCATCCTCTATTCCTGCAGACTACCGACTCGGATCTGTGCAGGTAACTTCAGCTTCAAATTGCCATCGTTTATAGCTCTTCTACCTCTAACCGTCACCTCAGTCCCACAGCCTGTCTCCACGATACCCCCCGAGGCGTCCCCCATTCTACGCTAACGCACACCCCCTCCCCGTGCAGCACCTCTCACTTCCTCCGCCTGCGGGCTCGCTGCGCCACGGGGGGCCGCGACTTTCACACGCACACGCGTACTCAGACACGTAGAGCGGCGACAGGTGTACGCAGACGCGGCTCACTGCACCCAGCTGCACGCTCAGCTGCGCGGACATGGCTCCAAGGCACGCGGACTTCTGTTACATGTGCTGCTGATTTATGAGATGAGGGTGACTGATTGCAGAGGGTCGACTGATGAGGGTAGAGCGAATATGGGTCCTTTAGCGGAGGATGGCTGACCCTAGAGAGGTTTACTAGCAGGACCATACATGATAAATCCGGCAGGTGACAGTGGGCGATGGAAAGCCACGTTCAAGAGCCTCCCTCGGTTGCCGACCTGACTGATCCCAACCTGGCTCTCCTGGCAAGCGCACAACCCCTACCCTCCCTTCACTAACCCAGCTCCCTCTCTCACCAGCGAACTGACCTGGTAGACTGGTGCAGAGCTGCTGCGTCGCGCCCGCCTCATGTTCCGCCTGACCCTGCGTCAACAGAATCTGACTGTCGAGCTCGTGCAGCTCAGCCTGCAGCTCCTGCAGCTTTGTGTTCGCCTTCTTCACGATGCTCGAGACGTTCTGCAAGCTCTTCTTGTCGCTGGTGGCTGTCCGCAGCTTTTCGGCGCCCTCTTTGATTTTGAGCTCTCGTCGGATCTCGCGTTTGATGTACTCGCGGAGCTCCTCGAGCTTCTGGGGCAGCGCGGCGTCAGAGATGTCCGGGGCGAAGCCGTACTTCTGTCCGAGCTCGTGAAAGGCGGACTGGGTGGCACAGTCGCCCTGAAATGACACAGAAAGGGGGAGAGGTCAGTACAGGAATGCGGCAGAATCACCCGAGATAAATATGCTGGGAGCGAGCAAAGGTAATATCAGAGGATGGTGCAGTCGTTCTGAAGTAGAAAAGGACGGGACGGTTCCCCGATGTTTATTTTCGTTTGGCATGGCAGTCTGAGCGCCAAACTATGCAGACCTTCTAGTGTCGAAACTCTGCGCCGCATCGTGACATGACAGAGACTAAGTAACGCGAGCAGTATGGGAGGCATACCGCTTCATGACACGAGCGTGACAACATCCTGGGAGACCTACACCACTGGAAGCACCGCAGACATGTCGCAACAGGACCGCACGCGCCGCCGGGAGCATTCCACGCGCACCGGCGTGACGTGGAGCATCGCAAGAGCGCCGTGAGGAGTCGCAGTCCAGGTTCTTCAATGACGCAGAGTTGTGCAATTTCCCATGGTGATGACGTGGTACCGGGACCAGAGCTGAGCCAGCTCCCATCACGAGCCACGCTGAATCGGGCGAGGGCACGGGCAACAAACCAGGGCGCGGTGCCACTCCCGTCGCTGTCGCAAATGCGCCGCAATTGGCGTTATTTGGGAGTGCATGGGGGCGGCCGGGGCTGCGGCGCACCGCCAAGGCTGCAGTGATTCCCAGAGGTTGAAGGATAGGGGCTGGGAGGGAGTGGGTGCGTCATTACAGGTCACGGCGAGGAGAAAGGTGGATGGAGGGGGTGGGGTCGCTGGAGGCAATGTCGCAAACAAGCAGCATTTGGGGCATCAGAGAGATTAAGTGGGAAGCATACCATGTAATGCACAGGTAAGGAGTGGGTAGGTTTATTGAGAATACAAGTAAATAGGTTTAGAAAGCATTCCGTAAAAACCTTGGTTGTTCTGCAAACCATTTTTATCACAAGATACTACACGCAGCGCAACCGTTGGATCAGTTTGAACTTGCTAACTTGCAATACCTAAGCATCCTGAACAAGGAAGCCGTCCTGGCTGTCCGCCTGCTCCTTCTCCATCTCGTATAGACCGTTCAGCCAGTCGCCAAGGCGGCAACGACACCTCCCCTCTTCAGCCGGCGACCCGCTCCGCCATGAGCTCTCCGCCACAGCGGGATGACCCTGTCTTCCACGCGGCGACAGAGCCACGGACCGGCCTCAGCTATCAGGAGCCATTATATGGGACAGGGTACGTGGAATGTTTCACTCCAGAGCTGCTGTACTCGAGGATTGACACGGTCTAAAGTCGCTCACTGCTTACACAGCATACACGTCAAAGTAGTCAGTAAAGTCTCCTAGGAATTCACTGTTCAGTGGCCAGTTTTCGTACATCTCCTATTCTCTCTTATGCGCAATCGATCATCAATCGTCTCAACATCGCCCGGTGCAAGTTAAGCCCAAACCACCACCCTGGCCCGGGATCACCACCCAATTCCTCCCTCGCTCGGGGCGAAAGGGCGCCACCATCGCCTCATCTCCTCCCTGGCCCACAGTTGAAGGGAGCGTCAATCCATCTCCTCCCTGGGTCGTGGTAGAGGAAAGTCACCGCCTATCTCCTCCCTAGCCATGAGCAGATCAAGTCCCCGTCTCCTCCCTGGCCCAGGGCGGCTGGGTGCCGCCGCCTCCCGCCGGGCGCTGACGACGGTCTGGTCCAGGTCCGGTCAGCCGCCTGCCGGCTGGACGGAGCAGCAAGGTCACAGCGGCCGGAGACCGCCCCCGCACCGCATACCTTCCAGCGGAGCCACGGCGGCGAGACCGGGACGGGGAGACGGAGACGGGAGACGAGAGGCAAGGAAATGAGGGAACGGGAGACAGGGAGATGAGGGAAGAGGGAACGAAAAGGGAGAAGGAGGGTAGGGAAATGGGAAAGTGGGAACAAAAGGGGAGACGTACGGAGGGCATACGGACAGACGGTACGGAGAAGGTGGAACGCGAGACGGGGAGATGAAGGAACGAGGGAAAGAAAAGGGAGAAAGGGAGATTGGGGAGACGAGACGTGGGAGATATAAGTGGTAGAAAGACCAGGAGACATAGTTAGATGAGGAGACAGAGGGATGAAGAAGGGGACGGTTAACCGGTGATAATTATTCGACTTCTAGGGCGCCCTGACCGAAGTTGCCTTCGACGCCCTACGGGTAGAACCAAGGGGAGGGGGACAAGGGCACGGTAGATTATACGCGGGAGGCGGGGTTGGAGACGACACAAGAACATGAGACCACTCTCAAGGCTGATGCAGCGTCCTAGATTTCAAACAGCATCAGACAAGGTGAAGGGATGACGGGCGATGGAGGCCAGACAGAGCTGGTGTCCATACCGGGACAAAGGCAGCCGCCAAAAGAGTTGTCGATTGGTGCCACGAATGGACTGAAGAAGCCGCCGATACCCCGATCGGTGTTCGGGTCACGGTTAGCCCGTGAATCACCGTGACCAAGTGAGGCCACTTACATGGGACGCGGGGGAGGCGACACGATGATGGAACCATTGAAAAGCTGCCTGTACCCCTCGCGCATACGAAATAACGATGTAAACAGCACTCAACCAAACCCAGCAACATGATGTTCGCCTTACATGACGAAGTTAGATCAACTAGAAGTCTAAGAGAGTGATACAGTTGTATCACGGTTAGAGGATCCTGGCCCCATAGAATCGCCAAGAGAACCTTGTCCAGAACAGACAACCCTGTCCGAGTCCAGTGAGCCCTGTCGGTCCGCCGGTGACAGGAGAGGACGGCTCAATCTCCGGACCGGGGAGGTGTGACGCGCCGACCGCCCAAACCGGTCCTGTCCAACCACCCCACCTCACCTCCCGCCGGCGGCCCGGGAACGGGACGCTGCCCGCCACGCGTCCAGTGAGGACAGAGACAGCACGGACCGAGAGAGACGAGTCCCAAATGGACCTGTCTGCGGTCCAGCAACTACAATCGGTCGCTCGTGAGTTTCTGAATACATCGAGCGTCAGTCAAGGAAAACAAATATCGCAGTTCAAATATTCGCGTAACGGGCGTCACACTTGACTAAGAATGATACAAACGAAGCTCGAAGCTCGAAGAAGCTACGAGAAGCTACGAAAGCTAGAAGCCCCACACTGTCCCATCACCCGCCTCTCCCTCCGTAGCGATCAGACGACGGGCGGCGGCTGACGTGCGCCACGCGGCGCCGACCGTTGGGGAGCCACCGCCGCCGGCAGAGAGCCGCTCAGGGGAGTGGGCGGCGGCGTGGCGATGTGGCGGACGACCTCGCCCGGTCTCTGACCCGGCTGGGCGGCTCCGCGGAGCTGCAGAGCTGCACCGGAGAGCTGCCGCAGCCCCGACCGGCCGGGCCGCTGACCAGTGCAGCGGGAGGAAGGGAATGAAAGGGCAGTGGATGATGATCGGGGCTGGTCGGACGTGCTTTCGGATCGGCATCAAAGTGTGACACCTTTTGCCATTACTCGGCATTCCCTAACACAAAATCAGAGACAAATTATCTGCAGACTAATGTGAGACACTCTTTTCCTGCGACTTGTCACTTCTATCGAATTCGACACCGAGCTCCAGCTGAGTGGTCGTATGTTGTCTCCCCGCCTATACCGTATCCGACAATTATTCCTCTGTCGGAATACCCGTCTGGGTTCGCGTGACGCTCCACCCGCCCATCACCCCATCCCAGTACCGATCACAGCCAATCACAACACATCACAGCGAATCACAACACGCCGCGAACACGGCAAAACATGCCCAGCTTCCGCCTCTGACGGCACGACGCTCACGACCTACACGACAGATAACAGAATCGACACACAGGCGGAGAGGACAGCTCTACATGATCGGCACAGCTGCTGCGGGCCTCGGGTCAACGTCATGCCATCAGTCGCTGGTGGGATGTCTCAGTCTAAGCAGTAGTGTTGGCCTTCCCAAGGCGTCCTTAGTAACAGGCCAAGCACCCGGCCGCCGCCGCCGCCACCGCGACCACAGGGACTGATCCGTCGTCAATGGTATTCAAGAGCCGTACTAAACACAGTGAGACGACACGACAGTGCAGAGCGCACATGACGTCATTGGATGGGACCGGTGACGTCACTGAACCTAAAGCCGGATGACATAGCCAAAAAACGAAGCATTCGAAACGCCAATTAACAACCGGACCGGAGAAGCCATCAGTGTACGGAATGAATGGGTTCGGGTAAGCGTTTATAGGGAGACGGACGATAGAAACCCGCGCACACCGCCGCAGAAAGAGAAAACCCATTACATCAGGCCAGTGGTAACCAAGGCGCCATGAGAGAAGTCACTCCACCAAGGTAATTTGGACGCCGTTAAAACATCAAAAACAAATTAGAAATCACCATCCAATGATACCCATGAACTCCGACAAACCATTGTAAGATCATCAACCACGCTGTTCAAGTGAAAGAGACCCGGATGAAGAATTCCTCACCATGGTAAGATCTCGGTCTGGCGCGTCCCGAGAATGTCCGGCTAGTGAAGGCGCATTTATCACCGTTTAGCCGCCAGACGCCCATCGTCCACCGTTCGGTGGCCGTGGTGGCGCTGACCGCGCGTGAGAGACACCGACGACAAACGACAGACGACAAATGACAAACGACAAGTGACAAACGACGGGACGGCAGTAGCGTTCCCACGGGTGAACCACACCCGCTCCCAGAGGTGGTCGGAGAAAGACAGCGCACGAGCCAGTGCGAGCTAGGTTAGATACTGATACGGGATATCGAGACAGGAGACCGAGATGAACGATGGAAAGCAAAGCATCGCCAAGAATGGACAAAGTGTGCTGACTGCTGACTGAGACCGAAGTTTGAGGACGTATCTCAATCCTCCGAGACACCCACTAACGAGTAATTCCGACTATTCCATCCCCGCAGCCCTTCCACCGTCTAATTGGCCTGTGTCTGCGCTCATTTACGAGGTCCTCGCTCTCCGCGTTACGTTCCTGGGTCACCCACCACAGTCCCGCCGGCGGAATGCCGCCCGTCCGGACGGGCGGGTCGATCGGCGCGC